GGGGCCTGCCTGGTGCCCCTGGCCGTTGCCCACTTGCTGCCGGCCCTGTGTCGGTGCAGCCCTTTGAATGCAGTGGGAGGACGGAGCTGGGGGGCACATGCACAGGGCAGTGGGGCACTCAGCCTCCCCCACTTAGGTGGGTTTAACTGTGCCAGGCCCTGCTGCTGCGCCCCACACCTGGGAGGTCTCAGCTGTGGGTCCCGGCAGCGCCTGCTCCCGCTGCTGCAGCCCCTCTCCGGCACCTCCTCCTCAAGGGGCTCTCGCTGCCACCTCACGCTCAGCCTGGCCAAAAGCAACCTTGTCCGTCTTCCTGCAGAGACTTGATTTGCTTGGGTCGGTTTAACAGCGGATATCATTAGTGCAAAGCACTGTGCGTGGCTGGAGGTGATTTTGGCACTAGCTCCGCAGGGCCTGCGTGCAGCCTGCCGGCAGCGCGGCCCAGCTCAGCTCGCAGCCAGCACCGCGCATGGAGGTGACCGCGGCGTGTGGGAGAAGGCAGGTTTGCAGCGCAGAGCTCATGAGGGTGCTTGCCTTACAGGGAAGAAGCTAAAGTTTATACTATTCCTATCCTGTACAGACCTAGAGACTTTTATGCTAGCCACAAGGAAGAAAGAGAGGCTCTGCTCCAAGTCCTTTCCTCACTGACCCTGGCTCGTGGTGGGCTCCTCCTTAAGTGAATCTAGACAACCTAGGCAAAATTGCTGTCCCAAAGGGGACCTGCTACCAGCAATCTTCAAGGTAAAGCTTAAATTCTAACACTAAGTATCTATCTTCTCTGTCTCTGTTCTTCACTTATAACCCATAAAAAAGCACAGCTCTAGAGCAAGGGGTTGTCGGAGCTGCCCCATGGCTCTGAGTATCAACCTGCATGACCCAGCATGAGTCAATGGCCCACGGTGGCAGTAGCTGATGCTGTTTTGGGAAAGGGTGGGAGCCTGGCCCCACTCTGCAGCCCCTGCTCTGTGCCCCACCTGCACCCCCAGGGCAGGGGCAGCCCTGCCTCCCCCCTTCAGCAGCACGGCCTTTTGCCCCTGAGTTTATCCAGCCCCTTTTGACCCTACTCACACCGGCTGTCTGCATCGCCTCCTGGCTCAGCAAAGCCCAGAAGGTCTCAGTTTCCAGCAGCATAAAAAGTACTTTCTTTTGTCTGGTTGAACCTGTTCCCTGCTAGCGCCCCCAGACCTGCTGCTGTAAGATTTGGTAAATAACAGATCCGCACAGATTTCACTGCTGTCAGGAGGGATCCTTCCCCCTCATCTGTCCGGCCTCACAGTGCGTCTCCTCTGGCTGCAGTTGATATCCACGATGGGGCTTTTCCTGGGCCTCCTGCTGCTCGTGGCTGGGCTCATGCTCCGGGAAACAGCTGCCAACCGCTGCCCTGCAGCCTGTATCTGCGACAACATCAGGACCCACGTCCTGTGCCTGAAGAGGAACCTCACAGAGATACCCAGCACCATCCCGCAGGTCAGTTAAAATATTAGGTCACTTTTGGGCGGGGAATGGAGTGGGGAAAGGTTGGGATTTTACCTCTGGAAAATTCACACTTGTGTTACCTACAGATCACCAAAAAGCTGGATCTCCGGGGCAACAACTTGAAGGTCATCCCTGCAGGAGCTTTCCTCAATATCCCATACCTCACACACCTAAATCTGCAGCACTGCAAGGTGGAGAGCATTGAGGAGGGAGCCTTCCGGGGACTGGGAAGACTGGTCTACCTCAACCTGGCCTCCAACAGTATATCTGTTATCTACCAGGAGTCTCTGGACGGGCTGTCTTTCCTCCAACAGCTCATCCTGGAGAAGAATCGCATTGAGGAGATCCAGCCAGGTGCTTTTGGCCAACTGGGGTTCCTCAGCTTCCTCAACCTTGGTGAGAATGCCCTCGTCTACCTCCCAGACATGGTCTTCCAGGGCCTGCAGGTGATCAAGTGGCTCCGCCTGTCTCATAACGCCCTTCACGTCTTGGGCAACGAGGCCTTCGTCGGCTTGCCCGCCCTGAGGAGGCTGAGCCTGGACCACAACGAACTGCAAGCCCTCCCCAGTGAGGCCCTGGCAAGACTGTCTGGGACAACACGACTCGATCTGGGCCACAACCCCATCACCTACATCCCCGAGGAGGCCGTTGACATGGCTTCCTTGAAGCACCTCTTCTTGGACAACGCGTCTCTCCAGGACATTTCACACAAAGCCTTCGTGAGGAGCCCCCAGCTGCGCACGCTGGACCTCCGCAACAACCAGCTGCAGGGGCTCCAGCCGCTCGCTGCCAGCCGCTGTGGCAAAAATCAGCTTGGCCGGGAACCCCCTGCTCTGCTCCTGTCACCTGCGCCCCTTCCGCGAGTGGATGGGGAGGGCACGGGTGAACGTG